ATGAGTGATAACGGCCGGACCTTTATCGGAGCTAAACGAGCTACCGAACGAGAATTCTCCACTTTTCTCAAGCAAGTGTCTAATAGTGTGATTGCAAAGTACTCCCCACAAGGCATCGATTGGAAGTTTATTCCCCCAAGTGCTCCTCACATGGGCGGTTTGTGGGAATCCGCAGTGAAAAGTTTTAAAATGCATCTCAAAAAAACTGCCGGATCTCACAAATTTACGTTCGAGGAATTCGCCACCCTACTCATAAGGATTGAAGCTGTGCTAAACTCTCGGCACATCTCGCCATTCTCCCAGGATCCCACAGATTTTACGGCCCTCACTCCTGGGCACTTTCTAAGGGGAGCGCCGTTGCTATCGCTTCCCGAAGTGAATCACGAAAATCTGTCCCTCTTAAATCGATGGGAAAAAATTAAGGTTCTACATCACCAGTTCAGCCGACGCTGGAAGGCGGATTACCTTAAGGATCTGCATAAGCGATATCGATGGAAGGACACTACAACTGAACCAAAGGTAGGAGAGTGTGTTCTTATCAATGACGACACGCTACCTCCAACCGAATGGCGTCTGGGACGCATTGAGAAGGCGCATCCTGGCTCAGATGGGCACATTCGTGTTGTTGACGTTCGCACTCAATCCGGCATCCTCACTCGAGCGATTGTGAAGCTATGTTTCCTCCCTTCGTCGGATGTCCAATGTTCTCTTGTAGAAACCGAGTAAATATCATAAATAGCATTCGCAACCTTTTAGACTCATCGATGCGTTTCCAGTAGGTTCTCTAAGCCCGCTTTGTATCCCATCCCTTATCTTCGGCTCAAAGTAAGCTCCTCAATTTATACACAAGTGTGCTACTTGAATCACTTACCCATAAAACAAAAAAAACCCCTAAAACACGAAAATCACAAAATCAAATACACTCAATCCTGCACCCATTCTCATGCATATCACTAATACCTTATGCAAACGCTTCTTTGCAGATGGAAATTGACAATGCTCCGCAGCCTGCCCCGCGCAAGTTTGTGCGATCCAGCGTGGTATTGACGCCCAGCGCCGCAGCAGAAAACGACTCTGCAACACGCAAACAACAGCAGGAGGATTAGCAAAAATGCCGTGTTTGTGTTCGCCGCCACCCGCTCCGCTTGTGTCCCATATTTTAAAGGATGCAGCCGCAACAAAGATACTTATTGGCGCGGGCTCATCACTTCTGCACGAATTGCCTCGCATTGTCGCACGCTACCGGCGAGTGCACCTCCGTGGCCAGATGCAGATTCTGCGATTTACGCCATCACTCGCTACTCCACCGTAAAGTACCGCAGTCAGTCAACCGCAAAGCATCGCAGGCAGTCCCGAAGGAAGTTCAGCGGAAACAGAAAAATCCGCAAGGGCACACAACGCCTCGTCGTACCAGTGATCATGCGTCTCACCGTCATCGTCCAGCTCGTGTAGAAAACCGCACGGTCAAATATACCACGCACGGATTGCGCACTGCAGCGTAAAGAGGGAAGATCAGCCGGCGGTTGGTTCATGAAGCCCTAAGTGCACTTAAGGAATTGGAAGAGACACTAGCCGCTTAGCGCGCCTAGGGCCGCGACGATGTTCAAACGACTACTGCCGATTGAGTTTTGTAAACTTTAAATCATAGAACTATATCCGTATAGAGCATTTGTTATGTCACATTCCTCATCTTGTAACTTTAACTAAATATTCATGAATTAATCCATTTATTATCAAACATTACTCATTTTTTGCTATGTGAATACCTGAATTGTTGTAGTACAAATGTAAGTTTGCGCAAACACTTTGAATTGTATAACACTTATGTGAATTTCATTAGTTATTGGCAACCCTCGATCGGCAGTTTGACAGATATCATAGATAAACATATTTGTCTAGTCTTGCATTTTTTCTTATTATTATTCATTTTGATCTCGTTAATATCGCTCGCGTTTATACATTGTGCCTTAATATCAGTAAATCTCTTTATAAGTCTTCTTATTCTCACACTCGCGCAAAAATCGTGAAGCAGTTTTATCTGGAAGCGTAAAGTTACTCGCGTTTAGTTTAAGCGTTTATAACATAGCGATTTTTTGAATTGAATCGGTCGTGGTTTCATTTGAAGCAATAAATCGAAGTAAAGGAGGTTCTGTGCATTAGCTTGGTTGTTTGTGCCCGACCCGTGTCGCCGTCTACAATTTGTTGCCGTTGATGTTGCCTGCTGCAAACCAGCTACATCCGTCATCGTATCACCACCACGCTAGTCAGCAAGTAACACCTAGCCATCTTCGCTCCGCCCTTGGCACCGTTCCACCATTGTCGTCGCAAGAGTCCTTGCCACCGGCTTCGTCAACCCCCAGCATCCACCAGTCGGAAGAGTCCCATCATTACAGTCAGGGAAGCCTTGTGCGCTTCCAGGACTTTGCACCAACTCGCAAATTATTCAAAGGTCCTTTAGTCAACAGAGTCCTAACCAAAGAAACCTATGTCGATGACATTTTATCGGGCGGTCACGATATTCCATCTTGTTTGAAAGCGCAATCTCAACTCATCCAATGGCTTCTCTCAGCTGGTTTTCCACTCAAGAAAATCACAGCCAATCATTCCGAACTATTGAGTAGTATTCCTGCTGAAGATTTGCTCGATTCAGACTTTTCAAGATTACATTGCTCAAGTTCTACCAAAACGCTGGGTATCCGATGGAATGCGTTAAACGATCATTTTTCATACTCCACAGACCCAATGAAGCTAGCTTCGAGTGCTACGAAGAGACAAATTTTATCCTCAATCTCGAAATTGTTTGACCCCGCAGGGTCTCTGGCGCCTATTCTCATTCAGGCCAAAATACTTTTACAGCAAATTTTGCTAGAAGGCACTGAGTGGGATGAATGTGTGAAACCACTCTCACTTCAAAAGTGGCAACAATTTCTAACTGATTTGCCCATTATCGAACAAATTAAAATTCCTCGATGGACAGAATTTTCCCCAAATCGACGCGTCCAAACCCACGGGTTCTGTGATGCCTCAGAAAAGGCATACATACGATCCCATCTGATTACATACGATCCCAATCCGCGAACACCATTTCGTCACACCTCTTATTCTCCAAAACGAAAGTTGCATCACTGCAAACAGTCAGTCTCCCGCGTTTAGAACTGTGTGGAGCGGTCTTATTATCTAAATGCATAAAAAGTGTTTTGAATCAACTTACATTTGAAGCGGCAGATATCCTCCTTTGGTCTGATTCATCAATAGTCCTTGCGTGGCTGAAAAACCGCCATGCACTTGGAAAGTTTACGTAGCCAACCGTACATCAGAAATCACTAATCTACTAATCAAAATCCTGCAAAACTAGGAACACGGGGTTGTAGGCCACAAGACTTAGTACCCAATTCGCTTTGGTGGCACGGACCGGATTGGCTCCTCAAGTACTCCGACCAATGGCCATTATCATTCCGACAGAATGTAGCTCCTCTCGAAGAACGCAAAGTTGAAGCTTTATATGTATTGGAAAACGAACCTGACATCTTAGACCGTTTCTCATCCTGGCCTAGAGCCTTGCGAGTGATATCGTACATGTTTCGATTCATCCATCGTTTAAAACCAATACAGTCCACTCCACATATGAGTTACGAATCTGCTATTATTACTCAAAAGGAAATCCATTGGGCTAAAACACGCCTTATAAAACTGGCCCAAGAAAGGCACTACCCCAGTAAATACTCCAAAATTTACAACAAGCACCCTATTTCGAGAAAAAGCTCACTGTTAACGTTAAATCCATTTTTAGATAAAAGTGGGCTCTTGCGGGTCAATGGCCGCTTAGTAAACTCGTGTCTCTCGTACAATGGGAGACATCCCATAATCATTCCTGGAACTTCGCGTTTTTGCTACTGCTAAAAACTGCATACGCAACTGTAAACCCTGCACGATCTTCAAACAAACAACTAGTTCGCAGATTATGGCCGCTTTGCCCCCAGAGCGGTCCACGTTCTCTTTGCCATTTACTTATACAGGTTTGGACTTCGCAGGTCCTTTGGACATAAAATCCTCAACACTGAGGAAATCTCTACTGCTCAAAGGATACGCGTGCGTGTTTATTTGCTTTTCCACAAAAGCAATACATCTTGAACCTTGTTCAGATTTGCCAACTAAAGTTTTCAAACAGCATTTGCTCGTTTCGTGGGAAGACGAGGATTTCCAAAAGGCATCTTCTCAGGCAATGGGAAAAACTTTGTGGGTGCCAATCGAGCCTTTCAACAAGATTTCAAAAGATTTATCAAATACACTTCTGATGATCTACGCTCCAAATACACCTTACATGGCTTCGAATGGCATTTCTTACCACCCAATGCTCCTCATATGGGCGGTCTCTGGGAGGCGGCCGTAAAAAGTTTCAAGCTGCACTTTAAAAGAATTGCTGGGAGTCACCATTTCACTTTCGAAGAACTGGCAACGCTACTGGCTCGTATTGAAGCTGTGTTAAACTCGAGACCCCTTTCGCCCATATCCGAGAATCCTCAGGAATTGTTAGCTCTAACGCCTGGACACTTCTTGCGCGGTGCCCCACTTCTTGCATCCCCGGAACCCCAACTTGACAAACTTTCCCTACAAAACCGTTGGGAGAAACTGAAACTACTTCATCAACAGTTCAGCCAAAGATGGAAATACGAGTACCTTAAAGAGTTGCATCAACGGTACAAATGGAAACTCCCGCAAAAGAACTTGTCCATAGGGGATTTCGTGGTAATCAAAAATGAGTTACTACCCCCAAATGAATGGCGTTTAGGCCGAATCGAAAGGGTATACCATGGGGCTGATAATAACATACGCGTTGCGGATGTAAAAACACAGTATGGGAGCTTTACCCGACCAATTGTCAAGTTATGCCCATTGCCAATTCAGTCCGATCTTCAAGATCGTAACTCTCCACTTAATATATTATGCGCCACATCATCGCTATAAGTTTCCTACTTCATTAAAAACTAATCTATTTACAGATCACGTCGGGACGGCCGAGATCCCAAAATCCAGCAGTGTGTACTTTGCTATCGCAGTCATGCTCTGCGTTTTTGTAAACTCTTCCTCAATATGAACGTGGATCAACGTATTGGGGTTGCACGCAGTTTTAAATGTTGCGTCAACTGTCTCGCCCGCACACATGATGACTTAAGATATTGCGGCTCATTGAATACGTGCAGCCACTGCAAACAATTACATCACACCCTTCTTCATCGTCCAAAACTAGGGAAGAAGAGGGAAGCACAGAAGACTCCGCACAGGCCGAAAAAATACGCACGCAGTCAACCGGTGAAGGACACTCGGAAGTCAAAACAATACGCACGCAGTCAACCGGTGAAGGATACTTGGAAGCCGAAAAAACCAAACGCACGCAAGCAAATGATAAAGGACACGCGTAGGCCGAAGAGATCAGATAAGCAGGTGGATGTAGTAATCCAGGCCATGGAGCTGCTTCGGGTTAGTCTTGCACTCGTGAAAAGGGGGCGCTATGTTTAAGCGACTTACGTCCGCTTAAAACGCAACGCTGTGCTACATTGAACCCCACATGCAGGCCTGCGTGAACATCGTTTTCGAACTTCCAGTGTTTAGTTTCGCTTCGTATAAAATGCGGTGAGCGCACTTAATTCTCCCTTTTTCTTTTTCTTCCGATAATCCAGCACAATCAACAACGGAGTTAACCATCAGCATGAGCCATTACTACTCGCCATCTACAGCGTTATTAATTCAGTCTACTTATTTGATCAATTTAATCATTTCAATTTTCATTTCAATTAATTGTCATTCCACTCAATCTACGATATAAGCCATTTAAATACTTTTTCATATGCGGTGTAAATCGCCAAACTATCTATTTACCTTGCATTAGTGTAAAAATACAGCTTGTAATTGAATTCAGTTAACTCACAATAAATATTGTTATCATAAAAGTTGAACAACAATGTTTAACAAAATGGTAGAAAAATTATGAAATTTTGGCTCTAATCATTTTGATCTTTCCTCGACCTCATTTGTAAAGAAATGAATATTGTAGCAGCATGCTGGTAAGTTATAGTTATTACTTATTGAAAATGCTTGCATGTATGCTTATATTATATTAATATTAATATTATATATTAAGTAAAAAATTTTAGCTACCATTTTTAACCACAACGACTTTTTTAGCCCTTTTTTTAAAGGAATTTAGCTACCACTAAAAATGATTCGCGGCAACACTGATTCTAACATTACATGCCAAGTCCCGCTCCTCAATAGATATAAAATTCACCTTGAATTAATTCTTATTTAATTTGTGAACTTGGCTGTCAACTTATTTAAATATCATTTTATCTTTATTTCGATGCGTGCTAATTTTGACAATTTACACAAAATTAAAATAAATGTTTTTGTTTTCGAGCTGAAACACTAATAAAAGGAAACACGGAACTTAAGCATAATAAGTTTTATGAGAGANTGGAAACTGTGTACCTATGTACTTATTTAAAAACGCCATTTAGGGTCCGGTAATGTTTACGGAGAAATTAACATTCATACATATGCATCTAATACGGGAAGGCTGATTTTCTAAAATATGTATTTACATATTACAGCCTTAAAAGGATATATTTTTCAAAAATGCAAAGAAAAACTGATTTGCTTTGGTTTGAAAATTTTTTCTATACGTACTATATAAGAGAATTTGCGATGACCTGAATTGTTATCTAATAAAAAAAATGGTTATTTTTCCTTACATTTGGTAACTTTTTCGTCTAATCTTGGTTAAAAAGTTCTTTGAGCGGCGGCAACACTGTATCAGAAACTGGCATGCGTTGAACGGCACTATTGCACAGTGATGAAATTGATGGTACAATTGTACTTTTTTGGTACATTTCGGATCCAAAAAGTACATTGGTACTACTTCGACATTTTTGATACAATTTTGCAAAATACAGCATTACGGCAAATTATGTCGAAATACCACTTGGGGATAAAAATATAGTCATCCTTTTTCTATTTTATACAAGTAAATACGTAGTGGTAATTAAAAAGTTTATTTCAAGTATTGAAAAATCACAATGGACAATCAAGTGTTGCTTGATACTCTTCAATAATAGAGATCTGCGCTGGTCGTTTTATTATTTTTTAATATTCGTTATTCTCCATTTGAAATAAACTGTTTTCAATATCTTCAATATCTAACACCAATGCCTTCCCGTAGTGATAGATAAACCATCGGTTTTAAATTTTTGTATCCAAGCAGGAATGCAATTGAAGTTACGGGTTAATAAAAACCAAACCTGGTCAAGAAAAATTTATTGATCCAAATTTTCATATGCAGTACGAAGTTCTTACTAAATTCGCTATGCTTTCTACTTTGGTTTGCTAAAGTTTGTTTCTGAAGAGTACAAGGCAAAAGACAGATAATTACCAATGTCTATTTATTGGTTCAGGGGTTTCAATGATTTCCTTGATTTTATATTTTAGAAATAAAAAAACAAACAATGGCTGCGTTTCTTTATACATTCCGGATAATCTCATTTCACAGCCGGAATAAACAGAATACGTTTGGAATATACGTCAACATATAATCAGGAACGTTTTAAAGAATAAATAAACAAAAAAGTTTATTCCAAACGTTCAGAATGAATAAAGAAATGCAGCCAATGTGAAATATTTCCAAAGTGTCACTTTTAGGTGGAAAAGAATTTTTTTATTTAAATCGCTTGTTTCTCCATAAGTGTTCAAATAGCATATATGGGAAGTTGTTGCCGAAGAAAAATTAAACAAAAAGCCTGCCTCCCAAGAAAAACGTCACGTTAATGTCATGAAGAAGGTGGAAGAAACTTCAACATTAGCTTATCTGATAAATGAGTTCTAAAGTACAAAAATGCTAAAATAAGAACCAAAATTAATTTTTGAAGAGCCTGAAAGCAGTTTCTATTCACGTCAGTAAACGAGAGGATAGAATTTTCAATCTAAAAAAAAATATAAAAAATGCCTGCCATGTCTTTTAAATTTTGGTACTTTTTCGGCTGATTTAGTACATTCTTTTGTCCATTAGGTACAAAAATTCAAAGCTCATTTATCATCCCTGCTATTGGATACTCAATCAATACTACTGCTTTGTATCATCGTATATACTTACAAGTATGGAATCCTATGCCCCTTTNCGATAAGTTTCACAAATATTTTAAATTATTGCCTGGAACATACACATTTATCGTTATTATTGGAAATGCAAGACTTGGCACGCATTTTTAATTTCTTTTTTATTGAATTCAAATGAATAAAAACACATTTTTCTAAAATATTTCTCAATTTACATTTTAAAGTTTTTTCTGAAACTTGAATGTAACTCTGTGCGGAGAATGAGAGAATTGAAAATCAGGTGATCTCAGCTGTTTTCAAATGTAAACAAACAAAATGGCGCTTTCCATACTTGTAAGCCTATACAATGCTTTGTATGACGCAGTGCGTTGACTTAATAGTATCGATACCTAAAAGAAATCAGTGGATGACTGAACACCAGCGCATAGCGTGCAGCGCTTGCAAATACAGCCACCACAAGTGAACGATACTTATAACAGCTCATACCAAGGCGTATTAATAGAAGGTGGTGTTAATACGGCAGCTAATTCAACTTTTTTTATTTTATGAATTCGCCTTAGCGTAGGGATTGTCAAAACGCCATGTTTATTTACGTTTTGTTTGTTTACATTTTCATCTGAGTTTCTAAATGTAAAAGTGCTTTGAGAAGAGAATATTTTCGAATATTGCGATTTTGTGAAATCTTTTTTTTTTCAATTAAACAAAAAGAAACATGGGCAGGTGTGTTTTTTGTAAAAAAAAGTAGAACGGGGAATTGGAGCTTTTTTCCAAGCCCCTCGAGATGCCGAACGATGTGCCCTCTGGAGCCGTGTTTACCAGAGAGAATTTAAGGAAAGGGATGTGGTATGCGCAGACCATTTTAAGTCCACCGACTACGTATTGGGACAAAAAAGGGCGACTCTATTGCCCAAAGCGGTACCAAACCCACCACAGCCTAACTGCACTTACATTCCGCCGCCTAGCTTCCCCTGCATTCCGCAACCTAGCTTCACTTATAGTCCGCAGCCTAGCTCCACTTATATTCCGCCCCTTCAAGATGAGTTTTTGAGCGGTAAACAACAAGGGTAAGTTGCACATAAATAAATATTTAAGCTCAACCCGCAGCAGTAAGCGGTACTGGGCCAATAGACGCATATGATTGGGAAACTTTAAATTCCAATGCACACAAGTTGTAAGGGCACCATGTGCCTCTTCATTTCCCATCGCACTATTTTCCTTTACACCATTATCCTGCACATCGCTAGCTGTCATTTGTTTGCTACGTATTTAAGATATTTGCGTGCACCGAAAAATCAGAAGCAATTTGGACAGCAGCCGACAATCGCGCGATAAATACAATTTGGAAACACACCACACCACACCACACACACACTCGCCTTCATCAAATATTTCACATACATTCGTCCAACATTCATCAAAGTTCTTAAAGTAAAGTTTTAATATTCATCACATTCGCAGCTTCAACATCAATACTCTTCCTTGTCGGCTAGCTGTAGTCCAAAGTCAAACGGAAAATAGTTGTTAGTGGCGAAAAATTTTCACAAGATAAAAGAGCAGCGAGTAACCTGAAAAACGTCGAGAAAAATCGAGGCGCCTTTGCCGCCAAAAATAAGATGGGTTGGCGCCAAAAGTAGTTCTGAGAGCGGAGGAAAAAGTGATTGTGTAGTAGCGAGTTGGTGAAATTACCACGGATCAAGTGGAGTATCGATAATTGTATGGGAGTTTATGGTCGGAGTATATTGTGAGAAATCATGCCAGGTGGAAGCCAATATAACTTGAGAAGTCAAGAAAGTCAACAGGGTGTGCAGCATGATACCGACGAGGAGCGTGATGGGGCGCAACCAGCCCATATGGCAGCCAATATAGCCAGTCTCAACGCTCTCACAAACGCAGTCGGACAGTTGAAAGCAGTTACAGAGGAAAGCCAGCGAGACATCGAAAGATTGCGAAACAACATACAGTTCGACGCACGTTCTAACGTGATTGAAGCAATGCAGCAGGGTAGTGAAACCACACCAGTGACGCGACCGGAGCGTTCCACGCAAAATACAGTGATCGAGGTTAGTGATTCGGTTACAAAATTGTATGATCTGCCTATATTTTCCGGCAACACCGAAGACTGGCCACTCTTCTTAGCAAACTACGACATAACCTAATGCGCTTACACAAATGTTTAGTTGGTCGAGCTAGAGAAACAGTTGCTTCCATGTTGATCTGAGTGAAAAGCCTTCAGCTCTGCTTCTCTTGTTTGCGCAAAAGACACAACACATGAAACTGTCGCTTTAAAAAGTTTTGTAACGTCGATGGTTGCCGTCGATACCATCACCGAAGCCTTCACGAAAGCACAGCAGCAGCCGCTCACGCAAATGCAGCCCGCAACCAAGGGGGGGCGCAGCGCATTCTCAACTGTAGGGAAGCCATATCCACATGCGGCCACCTGTTTAAATACGTTCCTGTGTCATTATTCGCACCAGATGGCAGGGAAGACGTTTTTGCCATGATTGATGAAGGTTCAGCTATTTCATTAATAGAAGAAAGCGTAGCAACCCGCTTGGGTCTAAGTGGTCGCAGGCAACCACTAACGTTGCAGTGGTATGGGCAGAAGTGTACCACAGAAGAATCGGCGAAGGTTAGTCTAGAGGTAAGATGCAGAAACAGTCCAGTAACTTACAAGCTTCGCAACGTGTGCACCATCCGTACCCTGGACTTGCCAGTGCAGTCCTTCAAAAAGTTTCATTACGCCCATTTCGAGCCATTGCCATTGGAAGATTATTACGAAGTTAAGCCATCGTTGTTGTTAGGTCTCGACA